GACTTCAATGGGTCAGTATAGTAAAGTCAGAGAAGCTGAATTACAGTACGCATCACTGCTACAGTATATTATTGGAATGTTGGTGTAGGAATGCCAAATTGCTGTTGAATGCATCACATTTTATGTAGGATGATTCCCTCAGGCAATGCAAAAAGCAACAAAAATTGCTCAAAGCAATTTTACTGTTGTCATTTTGTAGCTGTATTAACAATTCAAGTTTTTGACAGAGGTGTGTTCTTTGAACACTAACATGAATGTGTTCAGAAGAACAATGGAAAGCTGTTAAACAATCAAAGAAGCTGTTCAATTGAGTATTTCACTCAGGTGTTCACTAAGGAAGAAGCCCCAGGCAGCAAAAGTACAAAGATCTTTATTAAATAGTAAAGAATCAACATAAAAGAGGCAGAACTGTTTTCGGTACTTGAAGCACTCAAGATTCTAATCAAGGTTTTGCATGCAGCAAACAGACCATAAATAAAGGGAAACATTAACCTGGAAGAGGCTACTTATAACACACTGCTTCTAAAACACTTTCTGTAGGTGTTTATGTTGACATTTAGATCTTCTAGACAATGAAGGCAAGTAATGGATGAGGAAAATAAAAATATTAGATCACGTACAGTCAATAGCTTGTATATTGTGTACTATTTTTCCGCATTATAGAAAATATATTACCAATCTGAAATCAGTTCATAGAGAAATATCCATGGGCATTATTGAGTACTATATCCAATGGACATCTTTGAAATAAACAGTGAAAAGTGAATCAGAAGACAAAATTGGACAGTGCTTGGAACTGCAGTTAAAATTGATAACAGGAGACATTTCTCTATCCAAAGTGTTATGGAAATCTGGATCACGCTACCCAGCCATGCTGGTAAAGCTGATATGCTGGCATCTTTACAAGAAATGGATGGATGACATTCTTGGTTCCACAAACTACTAATGACCAAATGAGCAAGACTCCTCTCATTTATAACTGCTTTTATGTATATTTTATGCTTATATTCTTAGAAATAATTAATTGAATACCAAAATACATATGTGGACTGAAAGTTTTCCTCTTTCCCTTATATAAGCCTTATTCAGCAATAACTGCATTAGATATGCTTCAGAACTATCAGAGCAGAAGAAACATTTCCTATCCTCAAAGTTTTTACAGAGCTTAGAAGGGTCGATTGCAAAAACATCCATTGCAATCATCAATGAAGGACAGTTCGGTTCTACAAAAAGAACTGTTCTTTCAGCACCACAGAATTGATAATTCTGCAGGTGCAACATCTTTTCTTCCTTCCATTATCAGTAAGCCGCTTATCCTGGGGAGAGCCAAAAGCAACCAGAGTTTACAGTAGGAGCACATGCACAGGGGAGCTGTGAGCACACAGCTTCTCTACCCCTGGACAGGATTCGACAAACCTAACCAGCAAGAGCCACAGAGCCACACATCCGACAGGAGGAAATCAGTGCACCAAGAACTTCATTCTAACTCCTCAGAAAATATCCAAGGCTAGATTCAAGCCCAGAACCTTCAGAGCACTATGGTGGCAGCAGTAACCATCACTGTCCTCCCCACATCGTTACTACAACAGTATGAGAACGATTACACAGTTGCTCAGAAAATTCCAATGAAAAAGGTCACAATACACATGGTGTGGCTACTGCATTGCAGGTTGGAGAAAAACTGAAGGAAGCCATCAGTAATGAAGTTATACAGGCACCTATTTCATTAACAAGACCTCAAGCATAAATACAATCCCAAAGACCTCATATAGTGTTACAATCATCAACCTTGTAAGGATTTTTCCTTTTTGATACCAAACTGATTGATCCACAGTTTCAAAGGCATACTAAGTTCTTATTTTGTGTATGGAAAAAAATATTTTAGTTGATTACAAGCAAAACATCAACATAACAATTGTGTAATTAAACTTCACTAATGTACAGAAATTCTTATCCTATAACCTAGAAAGAGATAACATTTACTTACCTTAAATCCTTACCTTACCTTAAATTATCTGAATTTAGGAAGCAATTAACAAAACAAATTAACAAAAGTAAATCAGTGTTTTGTTAATTGCATACCTCTTCTGTCTTTAGTTTCACTGTTATCATTGTGAATTAATGCAGTAACTTTAAGATGCAAACCACAATCTTTGACTTGCACAGAATTACTCTGTGCTGTTATTAGTACAGAATTTCATCAATTTAATCAATTTCCCTACGGGATTAATAAAGTATTCTCTATCTATTACATAAATACCTTCCCATTTGATTCCTGAATATTTAATATATTGTGAATAAACCATACTATACAATGAATGGAAAAGAGTGTCATTAACACACATATTAACTGATATATGTAATTATTTACAAATTATTTGAATTAAATAATTCCTCTGTTCTTAGAAGGAACTAGCAAAGGTTGTACTAGTTCAGGTGGGTAGCTGCGCCAGCATGTGTAGCCTGCAAAGGAACAAGTAATAGGTTTATTCCATGCTGAAACTAAGAAGAGAGAAAACACAATGTTTCGGCTGTGGAGCCTTCTTCAGATGCCACCTGAAGAAGGCTCCACGGCCGAAACGTGTTTTCTCTCTTCTTATTTTCAGCATGGAATAAACCTATTACTTGTTCCTCTGCAAAGGTTGTTAACTTTTTTCACTGATCTCATTGTCATGATGTGTGACTATAATCAACGGTGTGCATATCTGGATCACTTATTCATAATCTTTTGATCACTGAGGTTGAGCTTTAACGTATTAATTTTGGCTATTGACTTGCCTTATTTGTTTCTGTAGCAGATATAAAAGGGAATAGTTAAACAGGTGTCTTTATACTGAAACATACTTATATTTTTCATACTGTATGCATAGGTGATTAATTGATGCAATTCAGAACAGAATATTGTTGGAAGACAACTAGTCTTGAAGTTAATTAACAGAGAAGTCTTTTAAAGATTTATAGTTACAGATTTAGCAATTAATTCAATATTTAACTATAACCTATCACATTATTCCCTGGTGTATTTGAAATACCATGGAACAATACTCCAAATAACGCAAGCTAAAGGTTTAGTGGCTTGATTTAGGCTGGAATTCTTACCTACAGTTAATTAGTGTTTGGTGTTTGCTTCCCAGTAGTTACAGTAGACTGAAGAGTGTAGTCACAGAAATAGCAAACAATGTTTAGACAGAGAAAATAGGATTTACATTCTGAAAATAGCTGTGGCAGCTCTTCACCTAACAGTGAGCTTTTCTTCTCAAAACAACTGTTTTAACCACCAGAAACAAAGAACTGTTTATGAAAGTGACAGGCAAAGGCAGAGTGGAAGCCTTTGGGTCCTTGGAAAGAGAGGTATTTCAACTCATCGAATCATGTCGTTGTTTCATTTTTAGAAACTATAATATTCTTGGGGGGAAATTACGAAGTTTCAGCTTTGTAATAAAGAATTTAGCAAGAAAAGTGTTTCTGACTGTTGCAACTCCAACAAAATAAGTCGAATGCTCTTTTCCTTTAATTAAGGACAATTTATACAGTATACACAGGAAATTCTAACCATTGCAAATTCATCCGCTATCACACTGATTCTAATTATTGGCCACACATTCAGTGGGTTATTTTACAAGAATATTTTTGCCAAACTCCTCAACAACAGACAAATAACAAAAATGTGCAACCTTTTACAGAAAACACTCATAAAGTGCAGATTCAGAAACTACAAGTAAAAACTCTTTTCTGAAAAATAATTTTAAAAAAGTACCATAATTTCCTTGATGTATAATACAGGTGCCACACTGATGTAAACAGTTAAACTACAGTATTTTGCTAACATAAGAATTTTGTATTTCATTTATTTGCCACCCATTATGTTGTGCATATATGTTAAGTCGTACAGTACATAATATACCTTGCTGCTGTTTTATGACTGTAGTTTGCATTATTTATTATGTATTTAATGGTGAAATCACCAGCTTCACCAGTCATACTTAAGAAGTATTTAATACAATGATGACTGAAAAAGACTGATTACAAACTGCTTGTATAAAATCGCACATTTAGTAAGAGGGCCAAGTGTTGATCATAAAATATGCACTAATCCATTGTCAAACCTCATATTCCAGCAAGCCCAGATGTATACATTGGTTCCCAAAATTGCTATTTGAACAACAGGTGGTAGAAAACTCTGTAAGCTGCTTTGAATAAAAATGATCAGCTAATAATAATACTTTCATTTATTGAATGAAAGCTAATGTAGATGGTGAGCATGTTTCCTTTTACAACTTTAATATCCAGACATTATGCTGAATGTTTAGAATTTTTAAATGCATCTATTTTAATTCTCAATATTTTAGTTAAATGGGAATATCATCCAACAACATTTTTTTTCTTTAACAGCCAAAAACACTTACCCCGAAATGGGTTAAAATAAGCGTTTCTGTTTTTTTTTGGCCTCATTTAATTCGCCTCATTTGCAAAAACAAACTTTAGCTCTCTCCTTGCCACAATTATTCCAAGGATCTGGTAAATTCTCCTGCAAATGTATGAGAGCAGAGTACTCTTCCAAAACAAGAAACCAGGATGTCCATCCAAATCTGCCACATTTTCTACCTTACATTAAATTTCTACATATTTTCTACAAGATACAGTAAGTAAGACCTGAAGACACCATCAAGGTTATAGATCATTATTGTTTTTAATCACTATTAATATTATATATCGATATCACTTATAATTCCATCATGGTACTTGAGCCGTCTTTCAGAACTGTCATATACAACTGTGCATAAATGTGCAAACTATTAGCAGTTTAATAGTGAAACTCCTTTAAAAAGATATCTTGTTACTTCCACCAATATGGTGCAGTGATTCAACGAACAGAGATAAGGGTTTTAAGAATGTGTCTGATCACAGGTTCCCATATATTTACTAATGTGATTGTGTGTGTGCTGCTTAAACAAGATTAATGAACAACCCAGTGCAACACAGTTCTCACCAATACTTACCATCCAAAGACAGCAGAGAATCGAAGACTTTGCACTGCACCTGCCCGGTGCTTTGTGAGGCACAGGACATCCAGAGCCCCTCATAAAGCCCCACCGCAGTGATGATGGCATCACCAGCATAGGAAGACTGTTTCCACTGGGGCAGCGCTGTGGTCGAGATGATGCCAATCCACCCACCCAGTGCCAAGAAGTACCCAAGAAGCTGGAAACCTGAATTGGCCATTTTGCTCTTGAGTTAAGCACCCTTTCTTTTTCTTCTGGTTCTGTTGCTTCTTCTGTGACGTTTTAATCTTGAAAGTCCTCAAGATAGCTCAGCACTGTTCCCCAGAGCCAATCCTTCATAAAGAAAAGATTTGAACAGATGTCCCCCCCCCTCTGTGAAGACTGAGCTAGTGTGGCACCAGGTACAGTTTGTGCTCTTCTCCCACTAATCCAAACTACAATCACTTTTGGATTTGAAACCACACAGCCAACAAAACAGATCTGAATCAATCGGCAGTATCTTTTTTTGTTGCCTCTCTAGTCAATTGCAAGTCCCTCTTTGTGCCAATCGTGGCCACAGCACACTCTGTCATTTGGAGGTTCCTCTTCTTCCCCTGCGGTCGAAAAGCCTGCGAACGGGAGGGCTACCCTGCATTCAGAACGGAGCCAGCTTCGAGGCGATGGTGACAGTGTCCCTTTAAGAAGCCCCCTGCTTGCTGGCTGGTGGACTAGTCTGTAGGTTTTCTCAGTGTGTGCAGCAGCCCAAAGGATCAGGAAAGAAGGCTGTTTAGAGCCTGCATAGCTTTCCTGTCACACTCCAGTGGGTCTGGAAAGCGCTGGAGGGACTGAACAGTAATAAAAACTTCACTGGGAGCAAGAAAGATCTTGATGGGCTGCACAGCTTTAGAATGCAAAAGGATAGGGGGGTGAAAGAGAGGCTGGTGATTGGTCTGCAGAGCTGCTAAGAGACGCCCACTGGAAGAATAAGAAATTCCCGGCAGTGCAATTGCTAAACATACCATGCTAGCCATCTGCATGAAGTCCACAAGCAGACTGCAACCAAAGAAAAACCTTGACAAGAGCAGAGGAGTCCACTGCCACACAATCTGTTTCAGTTCTGAACTCCCTGAAACTGTATGGTACAGTAGATTCAAATACTTTTTGGAAAAGGCTAGGAAGTACCTACAGTTTATGCAGAGCACATGTTAATGTACATTTACTTTGCAATATGTTCACATTAGGTAAATTATTATTGGGCCAGGCAATTGAGTTTCAGCTACAGTAAATACACGTATGCTTGTTTGTTAGCACATAATAATGACATCACTTATTGATGTTAATTTAACTAATTTAATATTAGCTACCTGGCATCTGTTACCAATCATGAAACATCCCATTAACTGTTGTCTTTTTGTGGTGAAGGATGGGTCTTAATAAGGCGTCCAAATCAAATTCATCCACATTTACAGTTAATTCATGAACATTATCACCAGAAAGACACCTCAAGAGTTAAATGATAAAAAATAACACTAAACAGATTATGTTTTTTAAAATCATGTTCAGCAAATCTTTGTTGACCTGGCCTTGGTGTAAAATGAAAGTACTAACTCTAATGAAAAATGTCTTTATTTTCTTTGTTTCTTTATTTTATTTCTTTAAATGTTGGCAATGAGACACTGTCCTTTTAACTTGCTGTGGTAGCAAGGAGGAAAGTTGTGATGTGACTGAAATATTTCTACCTGTGTGTTTTAATCTTAAGAACTTTTTGGCAGAATATCAAAAGATACAAGAATATGTATTTTTACAATTCCTAGTTTGTTTCTTTCCCTTTTTCATTAAATTTAAAGCTAAAATATAACTAACTAAATAACTAAAATAAAACCATCTGAAACCACCCCACATGTGCAAATTAAAGTGGAAAGCCAGATCTGGACAGCAACAATCTTGACATCATCATGGAAACCTTGAAAATGATGTTCTGTGAGAATCAGGCATTCAAGAGCAAGCCAGCAACTAAGTGCATTAATAAGAGACCAGATGCTGAGTATTAAAAGTAGAATTAGTAGCCTGCTTTAAAATAAGGAGATAATCCATCTTGTGTCACACAGTGAGGTGTTGTACTAGGAAGTTGATGATGATGATGATGATGAATATTTGTATTATTATGATGATAGTTGAAGAAAAGCTTTGTAAATATCCCTGCAATTAACTTGATTTGAGATTAAGTCCTTCTGGCCTCCCTAATGCAAACCTGACAAAATGCATCAAATTGTGATACATTTTCTGACAGTATTTTGCTGTACAGATATATCAACAAGGAACCCAAAGCCACACAGGGACAGATGGAGACATACTTAACTGTCACAATCATGTATGAACTGTATTGATTGATTGAATGCATACTGCATTATTTTTGTAGAATGGGAAAAAATGAAAATTGTTAAAAGTTAAAGTCAGGAGTGGAAAATGTCAGTCAATGAATGGTGAAGATTTTTATAAGGTGAATGGTAGAAGGAAACAACAGGAAAAAAACACACTTAACACATATTAATAGACAATGTTTTCGTTCTCATTAACCTCCCCTCATATAAATAAAACACACAAAACTTTCACATCATTTTTTTCTTTTTTTGCAAATTAAAAATACTCCAGATTTGTATACAGTACGTCACACACATTGAAAGTGCTTTGATCCACAAATGTTTTCCTTCAGGATGGAGAGTACAGTGGGATACCACACCAATTATTTTAAGTGTATAAACTACATGCAAGCAAAGAATATCTATTCTGGTTAATACATTATTATACTATATGTACCACATTATTTGAAAATAGAACCATAGGGGAATTCCTGTACTACTGACCTTTGTAACTTTTAGACTTATGTTTGCTTAATACAATTTCACAGATCTCTGAAGTAATAACTAAAAGCTATATACTGTAATATCCCTTATAAATAATTTCATGTTATCATTCTTTTCAGTAGCAGGCACTACTGACTGTAGGATTGTTGATACAGCCTTGATTATTCAGTACATATTCTTCCCCTGAGCTGTATGACATCAGCACACTGCATGTGAAGGTACTGATTTACAGCAACCTTTCTCCTAAATTTCATGGAGGTCCTATAAGAGTTAAAAGCCTCATCACAGGTATATGAATGTGTAGGATATTTTTTCTCTGGTACCTTTTAAATATATTTTTTACTGGAACTCTGAAACTTGCCCTCTACCATAGGTTTAGCTCCTGCTGACAGGTTTCTGTCAGAGATTCAACACAACTTGTTTACTTCGACTAATAAACCAGGAATCCTTGTACGTTTCTCTACCGAGGAGAAGGAGGAAGTGCAGATCACTGATTTAACCAAGTTTCCAGGGTTTTTATAAAGGACGCAGTCTCCATGATCCATGTCAGAAAAGAATTAAATCCTTTTCATGTGAAACTGAAAGGGAAGGAACTCTGCTAAGAGCGCCCTTTAGATTTGCAGTCATTGTTGGGGTTAATTATTTAGATAACCATGACCTCTCCAGCGGAGCCTCTTCCCAGTATTTACACTGGGCTGCAGTACAGTGGACTACGTGCCTTCAATGAACCCTCACAAACAGCACTCACTCTTGGAGGGATTAAAACACCATGTGGCCATGCTTGTGTGCCCCAGCACAAAGAACTGCATGTAGTCAGAACTGATGTGAAATCAACGGCTGAATAGCTATTGATCCCTACTGGAAAACAAAATGCTGTACAAAAGTTTATTTTCCCTGAAAATATTTACAAATGCATGTAAGGCTGCACAGAAATAAACATTAGAAGTAGTAAGTTGAGCATTACTACAAAGATAGCAAATCCAATAAGCTTAGAACCTACAGCAAATCCTCCAACACATATCATGATCTGAGAGTAGAAACGGGCTAATGTACTGCTTTGGAACTTCCTAGAAGAGCATGATTTACCATGATGACACTGTTAAACAGATTATTTCTCGAATAAATGTCTGGAGATAAAAAAAAGATTTTCCACTTAAAAAACGTAAAAAATGTAAGCTCCTGGTGTGATTTTTCTCCTGTTTTCAAAGAGCCAATTATAGTTATGAAATGGTCCATGGTGCTAAAAAATATTTTTATACCCAGTGTACTGGAAATCACTGAAGCTGAAGAAAAACCCTCAAGGTCTGAGTAAAGAAACAACAATCAAACATAAATTTGTATTTTGTGAGGTGAGGTGCCTACAGCACAAATACAACTTTTGAATTAACATAAGATTACCTGATTGACAATTGCCATGTTATATCACTTTATGATTAGTATTTCTAATGAAAATTGAAGTTCTATGCAAATGCAAGTGTATTCTAACTGGGCTGTTCTTGTAGAACAAAAGTGGCTGAGAAGGTAACAGCTGCTCATTAGACTTTAAAATGAAATTATCATATCAAGGCTTTGTTACAAACAACTTTTCATTCCTCCAGTAGGGAAATGATTCCAGATTCTCTAGAATCTCTGAATTCAGCAGAAGTGAGGTTTTTGAAGCCATTCTTATTTCATTGCTACGGTCAACTCTGAGTGAACGGGCTTCATTTGTATTTACAAGTACAAAGGCTTAAAATTCACAGTTGTGACATTTATTATAAAATGCAGCTTACCACAGTACATTCTCTACATAACAGTGCATCACCCAGGGCAGAGGGTTTGTCACTGAAATAAAAGCAATCTACAGTGGAAGTTGGTTATTATCAGTCTTTGAATACTTTCTTCTTTTATTAAACTTTTATGAACGGCATTAGTTATCCCTAATTCAGAGTGTCACCTCCCTGAGAAACACATATACATTTCAAATATATACAGTATAAAACATAAGTTGTTTAAACCAGAGGTTGTGCTGATGTTTAGCACACTTTAAAGCTTAAACAATTGCACTGGAAAGGGTTGTTGAGAAAACTAAGCAAGATGAAAAGTCTCTGAGACTAATATACAGTATATATCTACTGTAAACATCACAAGAGAGCATGTTGAACTACACAGGTTCTTCTGTGAACAATCTACAGGTCCATTCAGGCCTCAGGGAATGAATAAGCAAGTGAGTCATTCCTGAATGAGCATAGAAACCTAAATGCAAATAGAATCCTTATTTCTAATTGTGGAAACACATTGTGGGTTTCTCATCGCAACAAAGAGATTTACAGGGCTTCAGAAGGAAAGATTCAGCTTGTTCATTAACTAACATAGTAGGGAAAAAACTATTTAGCTTTAGCTGGAGGCTATAATCTGCAACAAGGTTTCTAAGTTAATAGCATTATTCTCACTGTTCTATTAGCCATTAACACCTTGGTCAAGGTTAAAGTTTTATTAGATATACATTATTTTACTGATTGGAGTGCAATTACAAATATTGCCCCCAAAATGAATAAAATTGTTATTTTCATTTACTGGCAAAGGCAATAGGTAACCATCAGTACATTTTCATGTAATATATTTTCAAATTTGTTGTAGATTTACTATCAAGGTTATTCCTTTTGGACATAATTTGCTAGTCAGAACAATCTGTATCTGCTATTGTCTGTATCTCCCTCACTCTCTCCTATGGAAAAAAATTCACCCAAACCAGCAGTTTAATATATCCTATAATTAGAAAAGGCCACAGATTAGCATTTAGGGTATGTCTAAAACATCAAGGGAAAAACATGTCTGTGGACACTTTTCTCTCCCCTGCCTGCCAAAACGTGATTCCATAATACAAATTAAATATAATGACTGGAAGTTTATTATAGAATTTATATGAATAAACATAGCCCTGCAGCTTAGGTATAACAAAAGTAGTCATTGACATTGCACACATTCTCATTTTATTTTGCACTCTTTTCGGGTTACCAAACATCAAAATAGAACTAC